GTCAAAACACTCAAATTAACTTAATTACATGCATAAATAGTGAGCTCATGGCTGGGTCTCAGTATCCCCAGACCACGAGGTCACTCCTAAAAACAGGGCTACTACTTATTATATTACTACTGTTTTTTTTTAGTAGATAAAAATCATCATCTCTTTTTTTCTAAAGTCAAGAAATTTCTCTCTTATAGGTTCCTCCTAACTATTTTTTCTAAAGACATTTTTTCTAAAGTCAAGAAATTTCTCTCTTATAGGTTCCGCCTAACTTTTTCCGCAATTCTGTTCCTTTCGACCTAAAAGCTATTGTTCCGAGCTCAGAAGGCCTATACTCTTCTAGTTCAATGCAAAAGACCCGATCTAAAACGCTTTAGTTGAAAAAATTTGCAAAAAAACTATGCTACCTGTACCCCTCCGGATTGATGAATCCACCAAATCAAACAGGTTAAGTTCGATTTCTCTGCAACCGGGAAGGCTTTTGGGTAGCGGGTTTTAAAACTTGTAGATTCACTAGTGAACGTTGTCCGAACAACTATTTTTACTGTTCTAACTCAAAAATTTCAAAAAATTTTCTGACTTTTTAGTGTTTCGGTTTCTCAAAAATCACGAAAATTCGGTTTTTGGATCCAAAATAGTTCCAACCACTTCCGAACTAAACTTAACCGGTTCTATCTATTATGGTAGTGCAATTACGATATAACACACTACTTTAGCGCTTTTTTCCGTTTCAAAAATTATCGATATCTCAAAAATCGCGACTTGTGGGGGGATCAAAATATCGCTATTTTGAGCCTAAAAACCGGTCTGTTTTCGTTGTTTTTCACTGAAAAACGATATAAGACTAATAATATAGGCTATATAAGTAATAATATTAGTAATACTATACCCCTCCGGGTTTGTTTAATATCCGAATTAAGGTGCTTAACTCGGATATTCGCAGTTCGGTGAAGGGTCACTACAGTGCAGCACTGTCGAGCCCCCCACAGATTACTATCTTACTTTTTGTACCAAAAGGGATACAAAACTTGTTAACGATACCCAACAGTCGATTGTTGTTGTCGTTGAGCGCCTTCTTGTTGCTCCCTGTACTGCTTGCCGGATCAGTCTTCTCCCAAGACCCTTCCGAATTGAGCGCAAATCAGCTGACCCTTCCGGATTGAGCGCAATTTATCATTAACGTGCTTAAATGCTCAAATAACCCTACAGTACAAGCCTCACAAACAGGCTACAAAATTGATCGTCACAATCCTGACTGATATAAATGCCTGTAACAACAATATATCTATCAACAACAACGGGGGGGTCGGATCACATCTTGTCTGGGGGGATGATTTCTACTGATTTTTTAATTTTTTACTGTTTTTGGTTTTTTCGGTTATTTTTTATGTTTTTTGTTTTTCTTGGGTACTATACTACTTTTTGTTTGGTTTTATATATATCTTTCAGTGTTTTTGGTCACAAACCTCTCAGCGAACGAGGGAATGGCCGATCCCCCCACCCTTCCTGGTTCGTGAATTTTCGGTCTTAACTAAGTTAAAAAGCTATTCACGGTAATCCGGAGGGCTTCCGCGCTCCGAACCACCCCTCCGCCCTGGCGGTTTAGGCCTAATAAGGGCGTTAATGTGAGCATCCGCTCGGCGCGGAGTGCTCGTTAACGGTTCTGCCGGTCATGATGTTAAAAAGACTAACACCCAGGAGCGCCATAAAAACATGTATGTAACATTCGCCCGGAAGATACATATCGACGGAAAATAAAACTAAGTCCTAGACGACTGGCCAACGTCTAAACAGAGTTTTACATGCTTTTCACCGTCTCTACCAAGCCAGTACTTTCGGTGGTCTTTCTAACATCGGGTCGACAAAAACGTTACTGCTTTCGGCTTCGGTCAAAACACTCAAATTAACTTAATTACATGCATAAATAGTGAGCTCATGGCTGGGTCTCAGTATCCCCAGACCACGAGGTCACTCCTAAAAACAGGGCTACTACTTATTATATTACTATTGTTTTTATTTAGTAGATAAAAATCATCATCTCCATCGAAGATGGATCAACCCTTTCCCCCAACTCCTAGCTTCTCATCCTTATCAAAATGAATCTAGTTGTTAATTAAATTCAAATCAGGACATGACAAGAAGCAAAAGTCTATATAAAAGAATAAAAGTCTCAGTTCCGAAACCCTTCCGGATTCTTGAATCCACTGAATCAAGCTCGTTAATCTTGATTTCTTCTTAATCCGGAAGGCTGTCCTCCACCCTTCACCGTTTTCCGCAACGGCCTTGCAACTATTGTAGCGACACATTAGTTGCAACTCGGAACCTTCTCTGCTATTCCTGCAATCTGCTGTTGTTTTTTTGGATCACTTTTCGTACTTATCGTCCGCGCAACTAATGTTGTTCTGTTTTTCTTAGTTCTTTTTGCTAAAATGGCCGTTTCTGACGTTTCTCAGAAATGTTACGTAATCATTTCGAAAATTTAAAAATTGGCAATTCCCGAATCCTTTAACCTTCACGTTTTGTTCAATCGTTCAAATAACGTTCTTAATTCTTAATAATCACCGATCCGGAAGGCTCGCTGCTAAAAATTCGAATTCTGCAGAGATTGCATTTTGGCCATTCTGGTCGAATGTCACACTGAAAGACTGAAGGACCTGAACCTTCTTCCTTCGAACCTATACATGGAAATGCACGACATTTCAATACTAATAGCCCTGCTTGAAAATCGTTACGATGTAGAAATAGAACAAAAACCATCTGAATCATGCGAAATCACCCGACAGTCATCAAGAGGCGAATTTCAAATCCCAAAAAGCAGCTTGCAAAGAACGGACGACAATTTTTTCAGACGAGTGAAACATCTATACAACTGTCTTATCCGAGCTTGCCCAACTTTTAGCCTTAGACCAAGCAAAGCGACTCTGACCTACATATACCAGAAATACTTCAAAAAAATGTACAGTGAAGTCAACAAATCTACATGGAAACTCTTCTGCAGATGTGGAAACTGAAATGTTTACAACAAACTGAGATAAAACATGGACTGTAAAAGGGGTGAAATTCCCTAGAGCTAATGCTCTGAAGCCTATTCTACTACTACTACTACTATTAATTGAGAGAGAGGGACTTGGGGGACTTGATAACTTCTTATCAAACTTAAATTGTTTTGAATTTTTTTCTCGGCCTTTTACCTATCACTTTGCTAGTAATTAGTTCAAGCATGTTTCAGGTTGTAATCATCTTTCCAGAAAAAATTTCTGAATTTTTTTGGGTTCCTGGTTTTTTTCCTAGTTTATGTCTGTTCAATTTCGTTTGTAAATTTACCATGACTGATTTTGAATTTTTGTTTTCATATTTTTCTTCGTTTTTTAAATATTTAAACAGTTTCAGTTTATGTTATATCGACATGTTAAATTATTTTGCGTAATTTCTATGGCATAATATATCCGTTTGGGATTATGTGTTTCAATTTAGATGGGTCGTAAAAATTTTTATATTCAGTGATTTTTTATGACAACAGTTTTGTTTTCGGCTTAACAGGTTCGACCCAAAGTTTGTCGCCTTTGTTGCCGCTATGTAAATAATCTCATCTGCTACAAATGTTTTAAGGCCTGCTCATCTGGTACAAATATGAGATTTTGTAGCTGTAATTTTTCAACTTTTTGTCAAGTTATTTTAAGTAATTTTTTCCAGCATAATTTTTTTGACTTGTCATTTTTTCATTCACTATTTTGTAGCGCAATGTGTTTTTTGCAGCTCAAGTGTTGCGAAGCTCTGCTCTGTTTCGCGTCTGCGTGTATTTTCCTTTGTTTGGGCTAAATAGGTTTCGGCCTATATTATATCGGTTTATTGGCCTCGTATTGTTTCATTTAAAGAGCAAATAAAGTGTTGTGGTAGGGGGACTGTTTTTCAGAATTTATACATGCTTGGACAGGACATTTTTTGGTAGGTCACTTCGAAGGGGGGTTTTGTACGGTTGATCGCTCGACTGTTTTTCTGAAATTGAGTTTTTCGTTTTTTCCATTTTTTAACTCTTTTCTTTCGACGTAGTTATTTCCGTCTCATTTCTGAATTTTTTTGGGTTCCTGGTTTTTTTCCTAGTTTATGTCGGTTCAATTTCGTTTGTAAATTTACCATGACTGATTTTGAATTTTTGTTTTCATATTTTTCTTCGTTTTTTAAATATTTAAACAGTTTCAGTTTATGTTATATCGACATGTTAAATTATTTTGCGTAATTTCTATGGCATAATATATCCGTTTGGGATTATGTGTTTCAATTTAGATGGGTCGTAAAAATTTTTATATTCAGTGATTTTTTATGACAACAGTTTTGTTTTCGGCTTAACAGGTTCGACCCAAAGTTTGTCGCCTTTGTTGCCGCTATGTAAATAATCTCATCTGCTACAAATGTTTTAAGGCCTGCTCATCTGGTACAAATATGAGATTTTGTAGCTGTAATTTTTCAACTTTTTGTCAAGTTATTTTAAGTAATTTTTTCCAGCATAATTTTTTTGACTTGTCATTTTTTCATTCACTATTTTGTAGCGCAATGTGTTTTTTGCAGCTCAAGTGTTGCGAAGCTCTGCTCTGTTTCGCGTCTGCGTGTATTTTCCTTTGTTTGGGCTAAATAGGTTTCGGCCTATATTATATCGGTTTATTGGCCTCGTATTGTTTCATTTAAAGAGCAAATAAAGTGTTGTGGTAGGGGGACTGTTTTTCAGAATTTATACATGCTTGGACAGGACATTTTTTGGTAGGTCACTTCGAAGGGGGGTTTTGTACGGTTGATCGCTCGACTGTTTTTCTGAAATTGAGTTTTTCGTTTTTTCCATTTTTTAACTCTTTTCTTTCGACGTAGTTATTTCCGTCTCATTTACTACTCGCTAGCTTGCAGTGCTAAGCTTGCGTTGTATCGCAAGTAATGTGGAGCTCTATGTAGAAATTGCTCAGGGTTAAGTGACTCATAGCACAGTATACTCTTTGAAAAAACAAGCTTTTGAACTCATTTTTAACGCAATTGGAATTGTGAACATCATTGATATCATAAATGATTCAGAGTTGTTAAATTCGTGAGGCATTCATCGGCATTAAAACTATAGAAAGAACTATAATGCACAATCGTTGTTGTTTTGAGTCGATCCATTGTTGTTACCATGTTGGCGTTTTCCACGAGCAAACATCTAAAAAAAATAAGACGATGTTTTCAAAAATATTTTGTAGCAAATCTGACTTATTCTTTTCCTATTCCTAATTAGGCTTATAATCCATTTTACTTAGTCTTCAAAATGTTTTTGAATTCAATGCGTTCCTTCTGGTCTTATAATGCACCCAAAGTTGTCTTACGGTAATTGCAGTTTTTCTGTTGCCGCTTCAACTTCGGCCTTTCTGCTAAAAAGATTTCTGTTTGATCTCTGCCTTGTTGCTCTTCGTTTTGCTGCCATAGTTCTTTAAGTTGAGTTTTAAAGAAATTGATCTTATCCATTTGGAGTTCCTGAAACAAAAATTTTTCTTTTTCATGGTTAAGCACAGCACTCCATAGGTTAGCACAGCACATTTTCTCGAGAGGAGGGTGCCGGATTTCTTTTTTCTAGGTCGACCAATATGATTTCCCGAACCCTCCCAGAACGCTATAAAGACCCAATTTCGACAAAATTTTCTGCGCCCCAGACAAATGTTTTTAAGCTTTCGTAAAACAAAGGCCGTTACAGCTCAAAAAGGCCGTTTTTGGGCACTTTTTGAAATTGTTTGTCCAAAAAGTGCGTTGTTTTGCTGCGCGTTCCTTTTCAAAATTAGTATGTATTGGCACAAAATGCGCCTTTAAAATATTTTTAGGGCTAGTGGGCTGAAATTGAATATAGTAAAAGACTACGAAAGGGGGACCCTTTGCGTGGTAAGATTGTCAAATCCACGAGGAGGACGTCCGTCCTTCCCCCTAAATCCACCCCCAGAATCCGTTAAAATGCGGCTCTTTGATAGTTATATGATCATAACTAAGAGGGAGAAAATGTGACTCGGTTGAAAAAATATATTTTTTTTGTCGAATAAAAATATTTTTTCTAAAAAAAATTAAATTCGAAGTTTTAAGATGCAATGAAAAAAGCGATCGGTATACACCATTTATTGTTCCGACTTTCGTAACGAAAGTAACGGAACATTTGTGCTCGGGTGGGTTTTTTTTCTTCGGACAAATTTCGACTTTTTAACTAGACATTTTTGACGGAATTTTTTATATCATTCAAAAGCTATTGTTGTCCTGAGCTTAAATTTGAAAAGATATTTTACCTGTGATCATTTTTCGTCAAATTATGGGGGTTTAAAGATTGCGATTTTGGCCAACTGGACAATTAACGCGCGATATATTTCGCGCTATTAACGCGTAAGCGGATATTTAATCCGTCTTGGAAATCGTTCCAAATTGGTTCAAGGAAGCCTATATGCCATAATTGATTTGTTAATAGGAGCAAAATCTATCACTTTAGACTTATTATGGTGTGTGGGGGGATGTTTTTTTACAAAAAATTTCAAATTTTTTAGTAAAATTTTAATTTTATTATTTAAAAAAAATTTTTTTCATGTTACTACTGCACCATAGACCTTGAAGGCAGTCGGAACATTCAGGGGTTCGACCTGATACGAGCAGTCTTGTTAAGCTTGTGATTAGCATGCGTTATCAAATTGGAATAAAGCTTTTTTTCGGACTAGCAACTTGTTTAACAGAATCAATTGGTACCTTGGTTTATAATGATAAAAATTTCGTTGCGTCTCCGCTACGCTTGGTCTAAAGGGCCTAGTTTTTTTTAACGGGAAATAATCAGTTTTAAAAAAATAATCTGCTTATTGTTTTTCAGCCTATGTTTTGTTGGCTTAGTTGTTTTAGAGTCACATCGTTTATTTTTTTGCGTTACGCACAATCGTTTTAGTTTTTTTTTAGTCTTTTGATTTATTCCTGCAATTTGTTATTTCACAATTTTGACTTCTTATATTTTCTCCTTTTTTTGCTCAAAAATTTTATACGGCCCAAATGAGTTCTGCCTTTTGATTAAATCGACTTTGTGCCCTAATTTTGGGTAGTTTCATAAATATTCATGCTCCTTGATCCAGTTGTTTTGCAATTGATTCATTTCAACAGCAAAACATCAAAAATATATCAAGCACAACATGTTTCTCAAATTTGAAGATTCGTAAAAACCGATAACAAGGTTTTTTTACCATCGGTGATAAGTAGCTTTTTAATTTTGTGGCTACTTTTGATCTTTTTTGCATTTTTTGCTTAAAAAATGTAATTTCAAATTTACCTGTTGGTATGTTGCTGGCAAATGTGTGACAACACTGGGCCCGTAGTTCCGACATCTCACTTCTGATAATTGAATGGAAATAAGTAGAAACGTAAAACATATCTGGGTAAAGTCACATGATGAAAATTTGGACGATGATCCCAAAAAGTTATTCATTCTGATTAACTGGCTTGATTTACGCTGCCGATTTATGAAGCTGCCTTGTAAAGATATCTCTGGCTATTTATCATGAATTGATACAAATATATATATATAATGGTCAAAGATACCGATGTCCAAAAAGGGTTACCTGAACTTCATCTGTCGAAGATTAATAATATTACACCCTGGGGTAAAATTGGTGGGTATCAATGTCAGAACTCTTCAAATTAATTCCGCAAACAAAAGAGTCATGGAAATTGATTGGTGACTTAATTAGTTTCTGCTAGTTCGTTTTTCTTGAAAGTACAATAAAGGAAGCGTACAGATTAAATGTTGCTCTTCAACTTCAACTGACAATTTGTGGCTGTCAAAAATAAAGAAGAAAGCTAAAGAAGCAGATTGTTTTAGATTCTCTGTTGAGGAGTTCGGGAAAAAACCATTTTGCTCGTGATCAAATATTTAGAAAGTTATGAAAAAATTTCAAGTGGTCTTTGTCATGCTCGAAGTTATAAAATCAAACCGCACTTTTTATATTTTATGAATTGAGCGCTAGCAGAAAGGGCCTATTGAAAATTTATCTCAAAGAAAGTAGTTTTTTATTCAAAAATGAGGAGTTTCCAGAATATTTTCCGCTAGAAACTTGTTTTTATATTTTATAGAATCTCTGTTTTGAATTCTGTACGATGAGAGAAGTCTACTTATTTGTCAAACCGAATTTGATTGATCTTAAAGGATGGCGAGTTCTTTTATGGAGGTATAATGGCTTCGGGGATTAATTGCGAACGCGAATGTCAGTTTCGGCTTTGATAATTCAAATGCGGCCATTACACACATGTGGCACTAGCATGTCAATTAAAGAGAAGGAATCTTGAGTTGATTTAAGCCTGCTTTCTTTGGTCACCTTTGGTAAGTATGCGTAAAATTTTAAATCAGTTTGAAAACCTCGAACTATCTGTAACGGTCGTTAAGTTGATCTGCACCATATTTGGTTGTGGATGTTGATAAATAATGGGCTATGGGTCAATAGTTCGAGGATATATTGTTGATGTTCGCTCGGTGATGATGCTCTTTTTTTTCGTTTTAGTCTGCTACAGTGGCAAGTTATGCTCTCTTATAAAGAAATGGCGAATGCCGGAAAAAGGAACTTTAATATGGGGGCGTTTTTAGCCAGGTGTAGTATCAAGGCTCATTTTTCTTTATCTGAACTTACGAGCCCATCTTTTGCTGTTTAACAAAAGAACCTTTTGGATTGTGTTTATGTAAAAATTGTACTGTTTTGTTGGCGGTCTAGTTACAAAAACTATAGCTCAACTAGTTTCATATTATGGGGTATGTAATAGTGAAGATCCAATAGCTTAACAATGATTTCATTGCCCTTGCGATCAGAAAGGGTGTTGCAATCAGGTACAAGACTTTGTTCACAGGACTCATCTCTTGAGCTCATTCATCTCCTGGTTCTCTCAGTTGAAAATACTGCAACAGACATATTTTGGGCCTATTAAATATCCATCCTATTAGAAATTTGCATTTAATAGTGGTTGTAATCTTACCAATTCGATTTGTTAAGTTTTTGTTTGTCCTTTTTTCGGCTTTATAGTTCTCAGCCTATTTTATATCGGCTTAGTGACCATATATTGCGTCGCTTAATGACCGAAAAAAGTTGCTGTGTGTGTGTTCTAGTCGAGCCGACTTAAAAACATTTGTTTTTCTGTCTTTTGATTTTTTTTTTCGGCTTGAAGGGTTTCTCTGCAAGTAATTTTTCCCCCAATCCAAATTTCCCACGCTTTTGTCGGGGCACGCTTTTTAAAAAGATTTCATTGATTTTGATAGATTTAGATGTATAATTGAAGAATTTTGATTTGATTTTTTTTGCTGATGGTTTTTCTGTTTTACGATCGCCGATAAGCTCTGTTTAGTTTCCGAATCTTATATATCACTTTGCGTTCAGTGCATATATAGCACTTGTAGATACTATGCGGGTAGTACTTGTATGTGTTTCTAATAAGATTTTACCGAAAAGTTTCGGTAGCTTTTCAGCTTATTTGGCTGTCGGCTTATTTACCTAATATTTTGTTTCTTGCAAAATTGCGATTATTTTTATGAGATCGATAAGGCTCTAGTCCCAAATGTTTGAATTCTCAAAGTCAACCACACCTGGAGTTCTTGAAAAACTTTAATAAATTTAAGCATAAACAAGACTGCTTGTATCAGGGCGAGGCCCTGATTGTTCCGACTGCATTTTAAGGTTATGGAGCAGTAATAACACGAAAAGGTAAATGTAAAAAAAATAGTGATTTTTTATTTGAAATTTTTGCTAAAATTATCCCCCCACACGCCATATAAAGTACAAAGTGATAGATTTCTCGCTCCTAGTAACAAATCATTTATGGCAAATAAGCTTCCTTCAACCAATTTGGAACGATTTCTAAGACGCGTTAATAGCTCGAAATATATCGCGCGTTAATTGTCCCAAATTGACCAAAATGGAAATCTTTAAACCCACATAACTTTACGAAAAATGATCACAGGTGAAATATCTTCTCAAATTTAAGCTCAGGACAACAATAGCTTTTGAATGATTTGAAAAATTCCGTCAAAAATGGCTAGTTAAAAGTCGAAATTTGTCTGAGGAAAAAAAACCCACCCGAGCACAAATATTCCGTTACTTTCATTACGAAAGTCGGTACAAAAAGTTTCAGTTTTTAAGTCATGCTATTTCTATCCTTTACTTGTTGTATCGCAATTGCCATGTAGCTTGGCATAGCAAGTGATTTGTACTTTTTTGGGTACTAATACTAAAATTATTGCAATGTGTTTCTGAGCAGGCGGATGATAACTAAAATACTATTACTTCCACCCACCTTTCTAAAATATTGCTAAAGATAATGTAGACAAGACTTCTCGTACCAGGGCGAAGCCCTGAATGTTCCGACTGCCTTTTAAGGTTTTATGGAGCAGCAATAACATTAAAAATTAAATGTAAGAAAAAATAAAATGACATTTTTTTTTCTAAAATTTGAAGTATTTCATGAAAATCATCCCCCCACACGCCATTTAAAGTACAAAAGGATAGATTTCGCTCCTTGTAACAAATCAATTATGGCAAATAAGCTTCTTTCAACCAATTTGGAACGATTTTAAGACGGATTAACTCTCGGCTTACGCGTTAATAGCGCGAAATATATCGCGCGTTAATTGTCCCAAATTGGCCAAAATGGCAATCTTTAAACCCCCATAACTTTATGAAAAATGATCACAGGTGAAATATCTTTTCAAATTTGAGCTAAGGACAACAACACCTTTTGAATGATATAAAAAAAATTCCGTCAAAAATGGCTAGTTAAAAAGTCAAAAATTTGTCTGAAGAAAAAAAACCCACCCCGAGCACAAATATTCCGTTACTTTCGTATCGAAAGTCGGAACAAAAATAGTTTCGATAATTGTTAATGTTATGGAACATTATGATTTATTAGTTGTGATAATAACGCATAAAACTGGTAACTAAACAATTTTTTACTATTTGCCAATTTTTCTTTTATAATTGGACTTCTTGTTAAGGAAAGGAAAATATTACTTCCCACGAAGTATATCAGAATGTAAAGAGATGCCTCAGATGGTTAAGTGTTATTGAGTCACTGTTATTTTCACCTGATTCAATTGATTATTTTGTAACAACAAGATTAACTGGTGAAATTGGAATGCAGAGTAAATTAATTGAGAATTACGAAAAAGATTGTATTTCAAGAACAGACCTTTTAAGGAAAAAGAATAACGGTTACCCCTTTATCTTTGTCAAAATGTTGAAGAGGTCAAAATATAAGTTTCATTTTTTACTGGCTGTTGACTTAAAAAATGAGTCGTTTTGAGAACCCATTTGAGCAATTTCATCCGCGTCAAATTTTCTTAAGTTGAAAAATCTGGGATCTAGAATAAAACAACATTTATTCGAACCCCGCCTGAAGTTATTTTTTGCCCACGTTCAGTGACGTCACAGCCGTAATTTGAATAGCAGAAATAAATTTGTGACATAATGCTGCTGTTGATACTTTTGTTCAGTTTGAGTACAATCAATAGATTAAAAAGGATTTTATAGAATCACATGTTGATCTTGAGATAAATCAATTGGCAGCGTAAAATGAAAAATACTAATTCAAAAAGATCAAAAAATTTTTTACTTTTCCTAAAATAATCTTAACAATTTGGTGTCAAGAGACATTTTGTCTTAAAATTTTTAAACCTTTCAATTGTTAAACTTTTTCAAAGTAAAGTTTTTAATGCTTATTTCATTATGGCAATTGTCTTTCTCGATACGCATTGAAACAAATCAATGAAAGTTTTAGTAGGTAGTTTTTTGGAATTTAAGTTCAGCAGCCCTGCAAGTTTTAGCGAACGTGCAAGTTTTAAACAGAACTATATGATTGGTAGCAAGTTTTACTACCATTTGCACCTCAGTGCTATAATCATAGTCATAGTTTCTCTCGGCTAGATTGTCATGATACGTATCAGAGTAGTAAGAAGCGCCGCTTCGGCTCCTCGTTTGGTTTTGAATTTCTGTTGGCTCTATTACTTTATTGCGATTGGTAAGGTAATGTGTGCAACTAGCTGTAAGTTTAATTTGGGCTGAATTGTCTACAAGTTGTACTGTTTTCTGAAGATGAACAAACATCAAACGCCTCATTCTGACGAAAAAATACAATGCTATTAGAAATCTGTATTCGTTTGTTTTCGCTCAGTTGTTTTTACGAAGTTGTTCAATTACTATTTTGGATGCTAATCTGGATGCAAAAGTAAACAAGGTAAACTCAGATATGGAAATTTAGTTTTTTTTTATTACAACCTTTTGTTCCTTCGGAGTTTGTATCACAAGTAACGCGAAGTGCTGCCTCGATCAGGTTACATACCTTGCTTGATAAGCTTCTTAGTTAACTTATGTAGGCTAGTCGTTTTAGCCATGGACTACTAGGAGTTTTTGGCTTGTGTTTTTTTAAAGACTAAAATAATGAATAAAGGCCAGAAGCGGTTGAGTGGTGTCATATTAAATCCGTTTTGGTCGTTTTTTGAGGTTGGATGAAGAGCTTCCCGAGCTTTTGGTACATGTTTAGGCAGTATAAATTTCGAAAATAGAATTTTTCGCTTTCTAGAGCAATGATTTGATAACATTATCCAATCTTTGCAATATTTTTTATTGATTTACCGTATGTAAGCTACCAAAATATATATTTTTTTTCTATTTTTTTAGCTGGGGAAGCAACGTTTGAGAGGTGTTAAGTAAGTGTTCGAGAAGTCTCAAACTTGGGCTAAGTGTTTCGAATCGGCAATTTATGGTAAAAGACTATTTTAAACTCTTTATATTCAAGCACATGTTGCAGCGTTTCAATTTGAAATTTTCCATAATTTTCAGATAAGTAGTGTGTGTGAGCAACAATCTCCGACCGAATATCGGTGAATGTTTACGCAACCGGTTAATAAATTTAACGATTGCGCGCTCTAATAAGAAAGAAACCAAACCAGATAATAATGGATGAAGCGCTAGAACCGTCGATGGAGGCTGCCGTCTCGAAACTGATGTCGGGCGATTTCGGTGATCTTGAAGCTAATGTTAAAAGCGATGATATAAATACAGCAACGGAAACGTCAAAAGCAGAACATCTTGACAGCCGAGAGTCAATTGTATCGATCCAAGCAACATCTAATGGGACGAAAGCGGAAACTGAGACTTCGAAAGTAGGAAGTTCAGGTTTTGAGGTGGAAATGGAGAGTACTGAACAACCAAATGAGGATTCCAATGAAAACTTGACAGAAAAATTTCGACCCAATGACTTTGTTTGGTAAGATGATTTGTTTTGGTTGTTAAAATGTAGCTTAGATTTGCTGGTGAATATTTTCCAACTTTTGCTAGAAATTAATTATGGTGGATTACTAATCCGATTAAGCATGTATGTATTTTGAATATCCTTTTTTAAACCCAAGTTATAGATCATCAGCTACCCAACCATCCTTGTTGCAACAATCGATTTTTTCTATTTTTCGATGTTTGGTAGCTGTGACGGACCAAGTTAGCGTCCTAATCCCCCCAATATTCCTCCTTACAATGTATTTTGGATTAGAAAAGTAAACGATCTTGTTAAGTCCCCCCTCGTTTTAGATAATTTCCAGTACTGATATACATTTTTTATTTAACGGTTATCAAGTAAAAATTGTCTCTAGTAACCAGGTTTCTCGTTTTGCAATAGCTTTGGTAACGAGATCTGAATTGCTTTTTGGTTGAGTGGTTATTGTCTAACGTTCCAGCTCAGCCTGGGTTGGGTAGATGGTGTTAATATGCATTACCGTGACGTTGCAGTGCCGATTTCCAAGCGCATGATAGAAGAATTGAATAATTCATGTGGGTTTTGTGTTTCAGGGCTAAACAGACCAAGCGAGGAGTCTTCTGGCCTGCAAGGGTGAGTCATCCTTTTTCTATATAACAACCAATTAATTAATACTAAGTTCTTCCTGAATCTGATACAGTTCTATATAAGCTATTTGGTTCCCCGAAACAAAAAGCAAACATGAAATATGGGTCACGCGATTTTTATAGAAAATTTTTGGAATAATTATACAAATACTCACCCTATCTCGGAAGATTTTACCACCAAAAATTATTCAGGGACCTATCTAATTTTTAGGGAACCATCTATCATACTTGTACCTCGATCTATTTTAAAATTTATGTTTGTTGGCAGCAAGATTGCTAGTTGTGTAGTTTCATATATTTATTTTTTCAGTATTATTTATCTATTTCATGCTAAATGGGCTGTTTTTTGACGTTCAACGAATTCAATCAATTTCATCATTTATTCATGACAATTTTCAGTTACGTCGTTGCACTGCCAGTGTTTTCCTCTAGTTTAGTTCAAAAAAAAAGAATTCGACCATTTGACTTTCAAGACTCTTCCTAATGTCCAAATTAAAAGTACTTCAATTTTTTACATTATTCTTTTCATAAATCACTCACTTCTTTTTAATCTTCCCAGTGAAAAGCAATTACTCGTTGTTCTTTCTTGGTGTTGATTAGTTTGTCTGGTGTGTGATGGTTGGCTTTGATTTTCAGGTGGCGCATGTCTCAGAAAAGACTTCAAAGAGGCCGAGTGAACATCACGTGTGGCTCTACATGTACGACAGCGATTCCTTGTAAGTATATTCCATGATCTACTTAAGTAAATGTTCTCCATTTCTGCGCGTGACGTCACAATTCTCAGCACAAAGATAGCCAAAAAAATTGCACGTAACAACTCTCAGAACAGAAAATAAACAAAAATAGCATGAAGTTTATAACAAGGGACACAACAGGGGTAGGGCGCCAATTCGTTACAAGCGGCAATTCGTAACAAGTTAAAATTGTAAAAAGGCATTGGCAAGTAGCATACGCTTGCTCCGATGCGCTTACATCCGGCGCCAGATGAATACTGCGCGTGAATCAGTGTTCCCCGCTTAATCTATTGCTACGATTTGTCGCTTGTTACGAGTTGTCGCCTGTTACGAGTTGTCACATGGTTAGAATTTTCGCCTCACGCGCAACAGAGGTTCTATGTGAAGAGCTTAACTGCTCGTTTGTTGTTTCTTTGCCTTGTTAATAAATGATTTTTTATCTCAAATAAGTTGCGGATCTCTTAAACCATTTCCGCTTCACTTCCTCGATTTGTAGAATTTGAAATTTCGAAAAAAATATTTTGTTTTTTATAAAACATCAGCATTACTTGATGTACGGATTAACCACAAGTTATCACAGTGCTTAATTTTGATGCTATCACAGGAAAAGGTTTACGGATTTAAGTTTTTGTTCTTACCTCGAAACTCAAAGCAGTAGTTGTTAACTAAATATGAAAACGAATCTTGGTTAGGTTAAAGAACAGAGGGGAATCAGTCCGTTAGTTTTACTTAAAATGCTCTACGGGGCGAGGACATCTGCAGATGTCACAAAGTTTCCCTTTTTTTTACCAAAATTTCCGGCCAACCAATTTGACTTAGTTCAAAAAATCAGGTTGCCGAACATTTTGACTTGAATTTTTGCTGAACGTAATCCGTATCTTCTACACTCGAACACTCTTTTTAGATATGAATAGGTGTCAAGTAATTCAAATGAACGTCAATTATGTAATCTGGTCTCAATATTACTGGTTGTTCATTTCAATGTTTGATTGCTTTTGAATTTATGACAAGTATTTCAAGAAAGTTCAGTTTTTGTTCATAAAAGCAAAAATTCCTGCGTCGTTGTTATATCAGCATTTTATTAAATTGTAAACGAAGCCCTCTGAAAAACAAGTCTTCCTTTTAAAGTGAAAAAATGCTTGAATTCGGAAGAAGCCAACGAGGTTTTAGGCAAGTTTTGAGTGGTGAAAGATTCAACAGTGTTCGTTTTAATCCTAATAATGAAAATACTACGTGGCGTTGTGCGATTAGGCCTTGTAAGGCACAAGTGGTCACCTCAAACGATCATATTGTTAGCTCCAATCTTGATCATTATCATGAGAAGCCTACTTTAGCTGAGAAACGCAGACTTGAGTTGAGGTAAGAAGGTTAAAAGGTCAGTTTTAGGTTCATTTTATTGCGTGTTATGTTCGTTCTCTATACTGATAGCTTGGAAATTTTCAATTTTAAAATCGAAACAATTTGATAAACTTGGACCTATAAAACAGAATTTAATTTCAATTATGTTAAGTAGCAGTTATAATTCAAATAGCAATTATAATTCAATTAGTTCGGTTATCAAGCAAAATTTTTATAAAGCAATTTGTTTTATTTTATAGTTTATGGGTTCAAGAAGAGTTTATTCACGACTTTGACTTCGAAAAGGACGAAAAGATCGAAGTGAGCAGCAAATCAAAAGCCTTCAAATCCGCCTTAGAGAAGTTAGAAGAAGAGCGATTAGCCGAACTAAGCGGCACTTCTCCAATTCACGCTAAAGTTAAGAAATCTCTTCCATCTGTTGTAACGACTACGAGGAAAAAAGCCCAGAAACCAGGTGAAGCGGGTACGCTGGTTGTCATGGGAAAAGCGACCAGAGGGAAAGGAGCTCGAGGTCCCACGGTGTCGGTGGAGGTTCCGGATGATGTGGACTCTTTGAGCGTAGGATCGGATGGAACAAGTGAAATTGGCTTGACGAGTTCACAGACGGAGCTTAAAGAAGTAAGAACTTTGACGTTATGGTTTCATGGAATGCATGTGTTCACCCTTAAGATGTTTTTTTAACATGAATTGACGCAGAATTGTATTCGAAATATTAACGAAAAATGAGCCATATTATTGGCTCATAAATTAAGAAGTATTTTAACCCAGGACTGATTTAAGAAAATTTTGGCTCTATATATATTTTTTATTTCAATGGCCATAAGGCAGGACAGTATAGTTCTTTTGCGAACTTTTTTTGAAGCAAATATATTTGTAACATTCTGAAATTGTTACACTTGCGATTTCTCATCAAGATATAACTTATGAGTAATGCTGCTCCGATTTGGCATGTATCCATGTTGCTCAGGGCTTATGAATTTATTAACATTGCGATAAGCAAAGGCATTGCAATCGGGTACTAGACTTTTTTTTCCCGTAAACAACTTTGTCCACAGTTGTAGTATCGTGGTACCTTGGTTTATAATGAATCTGGGTTTATAATGAATTTAAATTTCTTAGTATCTCCTGCACACTTAGCCTGGACGAATAAGCTTAAGACGTCAAAGGTCACGGGTGCGAATCTTACAAGGACATGTTTTTTTAAACTGTAAATATTCCGGTTCAAAAAAAATTCGGCTTATTATTTGTCTGCTTATGTTTCATCGGCTTAGTTGCCAGATCTATGAATCGTTTTTTTTTTGCTATAAACAATTTTCTCTGTCGCTGCTTGAAGTGTTTTATTTAGCATTTTAAAAATCCGACCGAATCGAAATTCGTTTTTAATACTGGTCTTCATTTTACCAACTAGATTTTTCAAATTTTTTTTCACGTTTTGTATTTTTATCGGGTTAATAAGTATCGGCTTAATTTATATCGATCTAGTGGCTTCTTATTGCGTCGTTCGGGTATCGAAAAAATTTCGCGTGCGTGGGGGACATGGGACATAAAATTTTTTAAAATTTTATAGGATGTTTTTGTAATTTTTTTTTCGGCTTGAAAGTTTTCTGCTCAGGTATTTTCGGCTTTTTACTGCATTAAATTATAAATTCAAATTCAATCAACCATCCGGTGCATCTGGCGTAGAGGTGGCACAAATGCTTGAGACCGCTTTTTATTGACAAAAATGATTAATTTTATTTTTTTTCTTCAAATGTTTCCGTTTGATGTTATCAAATTTGTATCGCAATTGGTTCGAAGCTCAGCTTCGCCTGTGTTTATTTTGGGTTAGGCAAAATTGACATAATCCGCTCCATGATCAAAGATAAGTTTGGTAGAAAACTTATTGGTCCGTAATTTTCCACGTTGTTGCTTGAATCTGACTTATGAATGCGTGTATCATAGGAAAATTTCCAGATCAATGACCAGGAGTGTTTTGACAGCGGTACGATAAAAAGCGCATTAACAAGATTTGATAATACTTAAGCGTCTTCTCTTAGAAAAAATGAAGGTACTTCTTCCGCTGTGCGAAGGGTTTTAGTCATCGCAACCAGATATTTTACTTTGAATATCAGAGCAGGAGAAGTTGACATTCTTTAAAAGTCCTTGACATCCATTTCTCATCAGTCTCAAACATGAAAAAGTTGTTTGGGCAGAAAAACCGAGCCAAAAAAACTGATTATACATTTTTTTCTTCTTTATCAGTTTGCTGTCTTAGCTGACAATGTCATGTTGGCAGGTAAACTTGAGTTCTTTCGCTTAAAAGAATTCAGAAGTCGAAAACATTGCTTACTGTCAATGAGATATTACTGTCAGATTTTGTGTACTGGAGGAAGCAATTGCATCTAATATTAGTTTGTCCCAGCACAAAATGAACTCTTACTAGAATTGATTCGAAAACTCATATAATCAAGTAAATTACTCAATGGTATTTTGATGGGTCTTTCGTGAATAAGACTGTGATCCACGATTAATCTATTAAATCGTTTTCAAAAGACTGAAATGAGTTTTTTGAATGACCAGTTGCAGGAGCTAAACGTGGTAAAATAACTCAAGTAAGAAATCATTGGCAGGAGGATTTCACGCTGACGCCTGACCGAGTGTTAGACATGTTGGACAAACAGTTAGACATGGTCTCATCCTCTAAATATACTTCCACCTCCTCACAATCTCAGTCAACCCATCCACCCGTTTCATCCAAGAAGGGGGCACATAATACGGGCACAGGTGCAGGGGCGTCAAGAAAGAGAGTCACAGTAAGTAGTTAAAGGGGCTCTTTTTCATTCCCACCGTTTAATTTTTGTGAAATTATTGAATTTAGGAAAGTTTGCTCTAAACTGCAATGAAATGTAACAGTGTGAACAAGTGAAAAAATTTGTACCACGTTTTTTAAATGCAAATGACCGTATAATCAATCTTTATACAACTTTATATTGTAATTTCCCAAAGGGATAGGGGGGGGGGGAGCCGTTAAAGGGTAATACAAATAATAAAAAGTAGCACAGAATGTTCCGAAAAATACAGCAAAACAAAAAGGGCCAAGTTATTGATTGGTTTAAGGTGATATAGTTTTGAGAAAGTATATTTAATCCGATTTAAAGGTTGAGCCTTGAAAAATACGACCTGAGTTAATGTTTTAATGTCTTTTTTGACGATTGATCAAATGAATTTACATGGTTTCTTTTTCAGGGCAACAAAACCGACGAGCCTCGCAGTAAGAGATCAGTTCCCATTACATGCTCTGAATTTTCGTACGACGGACTTCAACAGGTAAAACCTAGCCAAAAAACCTAAATTATCTTGATTCAGCGTCAGTTTTATGAAGGTTTCCTATGTTAGATGGAATCCAGCTCTACAGCAGCCAGCAATTCAGTTCAAAAAACAGACAGCCAAAATAGTACCAAATTTAGTCTTGACGAATCACCTCAAAGTTCTCCTTCCAAACCCTCATCATCAAGGTCACCGGTAGTGGTGCCATCCTCAGCTCATTTGCTAAACAAAAAGGGCTCCCCGCATACGGAAGTAGCCCAAATCAAGCCAATTAGGAGAACACAGCCGTTTGACAAGAATGTGGGTTTCATTGGCGTTGGAACTATTGGGCATTCGCTTGCAGAGTTGCTTCTCAAACAGAATTTTAACGTCTACGTTTGGAACAAAACTCCACAGAAGGTAATTTTATGAAGTTGTTAAGCATTAGGAAAAACGGCCTGCTGCAATTTAAGAAGTCATTTTTATCATGAAAAAAACTTATTTTTACTACATAACTTTCCACAATTTGGAGGAATGATTTGATACTTATGAATTTTTAGCCTGATAACCGAAGTAATATATTAACTGTAAGTGATAAGAAGGAACTAGATTGATGTTTATAGTGCTCTGATCTGCGAAGTCTTGGAGCTAAAATCTGCATCTCAGCTGGAGATGTTATGTCGAGGAGTGACATCACATTCTGTTGCGTCACCGACACCGGATCCGTCCGAGAGGTCCTGGTTGGAACTAATGGGGCCCTCAGTGAAATGAAACGAGGCAAAAGTTTTGTCAACTTGACAACATGCGACCCAAAAGCATCAACGGAGTTCTACCAGTTAGTCCAGATGAGAAGTGGAAGGTACCTGGAAGCTCCTATGATTGGATCTCGGAAGGAATCGGGGGATGGTACCTTTCTGATGTTGGCTGCTGGAGATTATTCTCTCTATGAAGACGTTCTGCCCTGTTTGGAGATTTTCAGTAAAAAGAGGAGTTATGTAGGTAGGTTTTCAGTCGTGAGAATTTTTTTTTTTTGTCGAATTGAATGTAAACAAGATTCGGAACAGTAAATGCTCTCATTCATCAGAACGAAAGTGTATTTGATGATGACATTTTTTTATTCGACCTTGAAAGTCTATTTGACGAAATCATTAATTTGAATATTTAGCCTTTCACTTGAAAGAATAAGCCTGAAAAATGCGTTAGGTTTTGAATTGCATAAAGGTCTGATCAGAAAACTGAAGTTCAACTGACGTAATTGCTTTTGTAATTGATGTCAAAATTTTGCACTACTCATTGCAATCAATACCGGGATGAGAAAAGGAGTAGGAAATTTGGAAGTAGTTAATCATAGAGCCGATTTAACTCAGCTGGGTGAATAGCAATAGGTTTCCTTCTTCTGTTTTTAGGATCTGCAGGTAAAGCGTGTGAGATGCAAGTACTGATGAATCTGTTGTATGGCAATCAACTGGCAGTACTGGCCGAGACTATGGCTCTGTGCAGGAAGTCTGGAGTGGACAAGCAGCAGCTGCTCTCGGTGCTCCAGAGCTCAGACTTGGCGTCTCCATTCTTGGTGGAAAAGGCTGAAAGTAATGATGATTACCCTTCGGATAAACAAGAGTGTTGCAACCGGCTACTAGACTTTTCCCGTAAAAAATTGCTGTGGAGAACTGATATTGGTGGTCATCTCCAGGACTATACTTTCGTCAAATGACAGACATATTTTGAGCATGCCCATTCTATTCGAAATTTGTTTTTAACAGTCGTTTAACGGAGCTCAGACTCCCTATTTAGGTCGCGATGATTTTTTTCGTTCTTTAGGAAAAGTCCCCGGGAGTTTGTTAAAGCTCAAAATCACTTTTTCGCGGTTTGACTTTGATTTCTTTTAAAAGTTCAGTTCATTTCTTTTGTTAAAAGGAAAACAAACTTCTTTTTTGAACAGCAAAAGTGTAAAGATCACTTCTAGCTTCTAAGGTGTAGTTTAATTTTCAGATTTCCCAGCGAAGTAAAAGATTTACTTAATGATCCAGTTTTCTCAAATTAAGTCAATTTTATCGAAAAGTAGTTGATCATAATTTTTTCTCGAGAGCTTTCAGAGACAGGGTGGCCACGGTATCAATGCGGGCAGTGCCGAATCAGTGCGAAGCGTGATCTGTCAGTGCCATCAGTGCCAGTAAATTAATATCAGTGCCAGTTTTTTTATGGCGCTTCTCTACTGAATCATTCAAATCTCAAAAATCGAAGCAGGCTTACACAGTATAAGATTTTTTTTCAGGTAGTATGAGCAGCTCTGAGAAGAAGAAATAAGTTGGGTGAAAAAAATTGGGCCAATGAGTTCGGCCAATGAAAGAAGTTTGGGTAACCAAGCCAAAAAAGGCTTTTTTTAAAAAAAAAATGTCAAGGCCGGGCATTTATTTTCATCAGTGCGAGTGTCAGTGCGTGCGAATTCGCAGACACTGTGGCCACCCCGAAAGAGCTCTAAAGGCATCTTTTTTTTCTCAAGTTGAGATTTTTATAAAACAAATTTTTTGTTTAATTGTGCTCCTTGACTCCTTTCCAACTCTGTTTGCTATGTTTTATCTTGGTTGTAAATGTACCTATCACCGATCTCAGTATAATTTAAGTTTTTCTTTTTATCCGGCGCCGTCTGATGAGCAGAAAATTTTTTGAAATAAGTATTTCGAAAGGGAGGACTTTTTGTATGTTTTTAATAAAAATATATATTTTTTTTCGGCTCAACAGTGTCTGCTCAAGAATTGTCGGCGTTGATGTTGCTTCGTAAATCTATTTTGATGCTAATTTATCATTAAATTGTTCTAGCTTGCGTCTTGTTCTTAAGTGAGCTTTAATTAGGACAAAATCAGGAGAAAGATTTGAAAATTGTGGTAAACCTTTTTTTTTCGACATACGAATTTTTTTCGACTTGGCGGCTTTCATCTGATTTTCTGTCGGCTAATTTGCCATACTCTTTGTATTGCATTGCTAGTGGTGCGAACTCCGCTTTGTCTCTGTATTCTACTTTTTTATACAAATGTATCTTCGAATCAATAAAAGTTAATAAAACTGTGCCTGAAGGTATTTGAGTTTGAAGATAAATTTATTTTACCTGCTGTGTCCATAGTAACTGTGAATAGATTCAGTTTTTAATTCGGCAGTTTAATGGAAATCTAAGCGTACATTCTTTTTCCTTGATTATTTTCTATTTTCTTTTTGAGCGTTTAGCCATACATTTTATTGAAGCATTTTAAGGTCTTCTATCGTTATGTAGGTTGAGGTGAATTGTTGCGTGGATGTGTAATTTGCTATGTTTAGTGATTGTGGGAGGGAATGAGAGCTATGAGCCTGCTGAGAAGCGACTGAGTCAGCAGCAGAATGACCTCCGAATAGCACTTGGTCTGAGTGACCAGCTCATGCAGGCCATGCCCATCACTGCCTCCTGTAACGAGGTAGCTGCTATCAACATCACAGTCTTGTATTGGCTTTTTAGACTCATTTAAGTGGTTTCCGGAAATGCATCACAAAGTCAGAGTAACAGTTTCATTAAATTAGGTTGATTCGTCTCGTTTTTTTGTAGACCATTAGTGCACTAAGTTTTAAAAAGTATGTACTAAATTAAAGACAAAAATGATTTATTGTTGATTGAATGTGAATAACGAAAAAATATATATTCATTTATATTTTTGTTTCAGCTCTACAAGCGTGCTCTATCTTGGGGAGATGAAGAATTAGACATGGCTGTAGTTTACAAAGCAGCCTGTCTCTAACTGCAGCACATGAAATTGAGATTGATCGCAAATATAAACTCCGATTACTTTTTCATGAAATAATTTTAACGCCGAAACCAATTTAGTTTCAATTGGAACCTATACGAATCGACACGAAACATCGCCTTTCAGGACATGCTTTTTCGATCAAAACTCAAAATGTATGTAACTCTTCAACTTTCGGAGATTAAACATTATCGTTCGTGTGAAATAGAATATATATTTGAGATGTTTCTTTTGCAATGATGCTTTATATATTCTCTAAACGGCTGACCAAGTGTAAATATTGAAACAATTTAAAATGCATATGATGTGGCTATTTCTTATTTAATTTAGCTCTTTTGAAAACGTAGTCTTTTACCATAAATATAATCAAAGATATTGCAACCGTCTACTAGACTTTATTCGCAAAAATAAATTTGTACACCCAGGGACTAATTGGCCAGGGTAGGCAAATCAAATCTTGGTTGTCTTTTTTACCATCCGAATTGGTTTCCTAAGTACTGTATCCAATGTAACTAAAATTGTAGAAAAATTTGGTAATTAATATTTTTATTATTAGCTTACTATGAGTAGTTTTTATTGGCTAACCTGGAGTCGAACGTAAAGTGCTCTACTCTATGGTATATTTGAATGCGGGCTTCACTATCTCGTGATGTTTAAGCTTTTCAACGTATTTTTTTCGCAGTTTAAAACAATTTTTTCACGTTCAACCTATATCGTATATTGCAATGGTTAAGATTTTTTCGATTTTCCAGTTTGAATTCAATTTTTTTCCGTCAATCTATTGTCTATCATAATTTTAAATGCGCGCTTCTTTATCTCACCACGTTTAAGCTTTTTCAACGTATTATTTTTGCATGTTTAACGAGAATTTTTGACGTTTAAGCTATATCGTATATTGCAATGGTTAAGGTTTCTTTTTCGATTTTCCAGTTTTAATTCAGTGTTTGTTTCACCAAGGTTGAAATTAGCAACCCATTAATGAGACGCTGTCAGGGCTTCCCCAGGGGTTGCGAATCTTACCTCCAAATTCCACTCAAATCCTTGTAGTTTTCGAGATATGACGTTTCTTATGATTTTTTAAAAAATTTTCATTAAACTTTTAAACATGGGGATTTGAAAAATCAAAAATTTTGAATATTTTAGTTTTGAAATTGGAAACTGTGAGGATATGTGTTTGGGCGAAGTGTGGGTCTTTCGTTTCAATTGCAATTGAGCTTAAAGATCAATTTGTCTGATATTTAACTATCTAAAAGGAATCCAACAAATTATCTACATCAGCAATTATTCGACTTGAAATAGTTGCTTAAGAAGTTCCTATTATCAGTTTCACTAAAGAAATTAGGTTTTGAACTCTTTAGCGTACTGCAAATAATGCGGAGCTCCGTTTCACTTTCCGTATTAACTTGTTAGCCGAAAACTTAGAGTTAATAGGCTGAAGTTAACAATATATAAAAATTGGCAAACTTAAAAAATTCAACGCGTCGAATAATTTGTTAAATTACTGATAAAACGGAAACTCCTAAGCTCATGACGAATGCATGATGTGTGCATTAGCGGAATTTTCAACTAGCGGTCTGTGTTAGGCATTACTATTACGTTCATACTTAATTTCTTGTTTTTCTATTTTTTGCTATTTTGCTCGAGCACATTTCTATTTAACTACTTTCTGATTGATTTGTGTTGTGCTTGGTGTTCAAATTTAATTTTTTTTTGTAACTTGGACTATTCTGCTAAAGAGTATTAAATTTTTCGCAAGGTTTGCACATGAAATACTCTAAAAATTACTAATCAAAAAAATTTGATAAGTACTAGATAACTGAATAAACAGAAATGACAGAAACCTATCTCCTAACAAAAAGGCATAGAATTAATGGTAAAAACTCGAAAGAGTCAAAAGAAAAAGAAAACTATGGAATAAAATGAAAAATTTTGTGAGTGGTTTCGGGTACTCCAGTGTAAACTCGTACGATAACAAATCTGTGTCCTTGCAATTTGCTTTTCAGTCGTTCTATTGATTCCAAAATCCATTTCAAATAATGTTTCTCGGTTGCTCGACTTTTTTTGAGATGAACTCAAATGTAGCGATAAATGGAGAGAATGATTGTCAAAAGTATAAAAGCTTTGATTTAATTTGAAGTCTCTTGATTGCCTCAATTTGAAAAAAAAGTTAGAAAGGTTTTATGAAGCTTCTTCAACCTTTATAAATACTTCAAATTGAAGTCTGGAATTGTTAATTGTAATTGGAAGAATTTATGGATCTTTCTTAACATTCGAATCATCTTCACGAATATTGTTGTTTCAATACAAAAGGCTTTTAATTGAAAACTTTCAAAATGTGACTGCAATTCAAGGAAAATTGTCTCACAAATATCAGCTTTGCAACTATCCACTTATGAACGAAATGTTTTGCTACCATTTAAATTATGCACAGAGTGTTTTATACCATCTGGGTGAAAGCATTTTGCATTTTGGCTATTAAGACTTGAAGTGAGTTCCTTGGGTTACTTTTGCATGTCGGTCTGCGCGAAATCTTACAAAAATACAATTTAAGAAGTCGATTATGGCCTGGATTTTTTGTAATAGCTGGGGAAATTCTTTTTGAGATTCCTGCTTTAACAGTTTATTGGACAGAAATTTTAAGTTAATTATTCCGACTTTCGATACGAAAGTAACGGAATATTTGTGCTCGGGGTGGGTTTTTTTTCTTCAGTTAAATTTTGACTTTTTAACTAGCCATTTTTGACGGATTTTTTTTATATCATTCGAAAACTATTGTTGTTCTGAGCTCAAATTTTAAAAAATATGTCACCTGTGATCATGTTTTGTAAAGTTATGGGGATTTAAAGATTGTCATTTGGCCATTTTGGGAGAGTTAACGCGCGATATATTTCGCGCTATTAACGCGTAAGCGGAGATTTAATCCGTCTTAGAAATTGTTCCAAATTGGTCGAAAGAAGCTTATTTACCATAATTGATTTGTTATAAGGAGCGAAATATATCCTTTTATACTTTATATTGCGTGTGGAGGGATAATTCCATTAAAAAATTTTAAATTTTAGAAAATTACAAATTACAAATTTTAAGATTTGTAAAAAATTACAAATCTTAAAAGGCAGTCGGAACATTCACGGCTTCGCCCTGATTTGCGCTGTCTAGTTTAAAACTTCAAACTCATTCACACTTTGTAAACTTAAAGGGGAAGGACATAAAGATTTGTCTATATTTAAAATGGAGTTAAAACTACGAGAATTTTCAAAACTAAAATTTGAAATTCTGTTTACTTAAAATAAAACAGAAACACCTCAAAAAAAACATTCCAAAAGGGAAGTGATTTTATGGCATCATATAATAGTTGCGAGCACTCGAAGCAGCGTTAAGTTGATGACTTACTTTTTTCTTCACATTTTTTTGTACCAATCGAAAACAGTTTTGACATTAGCGACAAGCGAGTGTTATCAAATCGGAATATAGACTCTTTTACGGGTTAATAATTAGTTTAACAAAATTAGTTGAACCAGTTGGCATGTCTGTTTTGACTAAATGCCCAAAAAAGATTTTAAGCGCATTGTCTGCATTTTAAATGGCTCTTTCATTCGATTGTTTGTTGGTGCTTTTAAAACAACTCTTAATTGTTTTCTTTTTTTTTCGCTGATTTTCGTTTTTTTTTTTCACGTTTGTTTCCTTCGGTTTGAATGATTTTGGCTGAAAGAAATCTGTTTATTTGCCTCATAATTTGTCGTTTGAAGGGCCAATTTTTTTAAAATTGCATTTGTGCTCTTGAAACAGATTTTATGGCTCAAACGATTTTTTCAATTTTTTTTGAATCACTGGCTTTTGTCCTATTTTTTTTCGGCTAGCTGCCATTCCAATTTTTACGTACCGCAAGCGTTTCCTCTTTTTGCTTAGTTTTGCTTAATTTGCTTAATTCAATAAGTAGGACATGTGACTTAACTTGCGTAGTTTAACAAAACTAGGTGTGGTCAGTTTATTGATCTCTATAAAATTGCGTTGATTTTTATGGCTCATTTAGTTTAAAGAGCAACATGCCATAAGACAAATCTCCACGATGTTTAAAGCAGAATCTTTGTGATAAAAGAACAAAAATCAAGGTGGGTAGGGCAATATCAATCAAACATCGAATTAAGCTAAACAACTGTTAGAACCATGGATCGAGCTGTCATTCTATTGATTTGTGCAATTATTTTTGCTTTGGTCACCCTTCTTCTAATGGGGCTGGGTCATTCGTCCCATCTGTTTATATACTGGCACGGGAAAACGACTGAGTACATAGGATTCTGGAGTTTGTGTCATTATTACGGGGACTTTGATATTTGTCTGTCAATAAATGGTAAATTTAATCGATCGGGTTTTTCGACACAGTTTGATTATATTACCCAATTCATAGCAAATTCAATCTCAAGTTGCTCAAATTCTCGGTTTTAATTGTTCACGCGGATGTGAATTTTGACCCTGTTATGAAAAAATTCATTCACTCTCGATTTAGGAACTAACATTCATAATTTTGTTCAATGTAGGCTGGGTGAACCGTTTTTTTTTCGCTGAGCAATTTCAGGTAGAATTTTTTGACATAGACATTTGGTTGAATAATCAAAATAAATATAAGATATACATATATAATCTATAGGCCCATCTATCATGCTTAAGCTAAAAAATAATATTTACATTCATTTTTTCCATCTTTTTCAAGATTGCAAAATAATGTCCATGTGTTGACTACTAAATCATTTGAATCAAACTGTTTCTTGTCGGAACAGAAGATTCAAATACGCGCAAAAAACATGCTTTTCAATATAATTGTTTTTTTTTCAGATTTTCACGACTTCCGGTCGGGAGTAGGCAACTTCGTGAAGACGTTCCAGACGGAGTGCATGGCGGCCGGTCTCTCACTCGCATTCGCAATGATAATCACAGTCGGTCTCATCATGATGATAGTGCTGCACTTCGTGGGAATCATAGACGCCGTATGCACTAAACCCATCGTCATATCCAACATCTGTCTGGCTGCCATTTCTCGTAAGACTATTTCTCATAGTAAGACTCGTAGTTCGCGTAAGACTTCTACCGAGTACCAATGATAGATTTATGGTCCGGTTTTTCAAGAAAGTAATGGGTTAATGCTTCTTGGCGAGCTTTGCTTTTCAGCCAAATTTTAGACCTCTAAAAAGCTGGCTCTCTAAATAGAAATGAATTTTTTTAAAACACAAAAATTTTAAAGTATAAGTTATATATCACTTGAAATATCAAAATTAAACTTATGCAAAAGAGAAATCAAAAACAAAAACTGAAAGAATGTCTCAAGTAAACACATAAAATACGTAACTATTA